GCATGTGTTTGGGGCTGCAGAAATGTTCACATTTATTTATACGGAAAGGCATTTTAATTAGTTACAGACTGCCGACCACTGTTTTCAGTATGCATGAACTCAAAAAATACAGTCTGATAGACTCGAACGATTAAGACTTACCACCGACAATTCTACTGTCAAGCACATACCCGGGAATAACTTGATAGCAGATAACTGTTCCCAACTTCCATTTAATAACTACGCGCACGAAAATATAGCGGAGGATTACGTGAATTTATTGCTTATTCAGCAGTTCCCAGATCATTAAATTTTCAATAAGTGGCAAGTGCTACAGCCCAAGATTGTGTTTTGACATGCATTTTTATCGCGCTTCAAAATAGCACGTGGACTAAACAAACATGTGCCAGTGGTGGCTGCTATAACTGTTATCAACAACTGACCGACCGCCCTGTCAAAAGGGCATGGAAATGTTCTCCTACGAGGAACATGGCTTGTTTAATCAAAAGTGAGTAACATAGCGCACGAGGGTCCCGACTGCCGCAACAGAACAAAAACGCTCTTAAAAGAAACTTGCTGGTTCCCGTATCTAGGCAAGTTAGTTGACGAGCAATGCAAAAATTACATACAATGCATGTCCGCATCACCACAGACGACTACAGAACCAATCAGGCCAAGCCCATTACCAAGGCAACCATGGGATGAGCTGTCTATCAATTGTTATTTTCTGTGACGACAAACGATTAAAAGTACGCGACAGAGACAATTAATAAAAGCAAAAGGACAAAAAGAATGCTGATGAAAAACGTAAGGCAAATCCTTGTTGTTTACAACCAGGCGACCAGGTCCTTGTTAAACAACAACAAAAGATTGTCAACGCCATTCAGTCTTAAATGGTGATACGTAAAAATTATATGGACCATTATCACTTTTATACTGATGGAAGTAAAGACTCGGATGCTTGTTTCGCAGGTGCAGGAATTATAGAATATGACAAAAATCGAGTAATAATGATTCAAGAAACTAAAATAAAAAATAACAAATACGTTTCTATTTATACATGTGAAATGGCAGCTATTAATTAAGCAGCAGAAATAATAAGAAGGAAAATATTTGATAAAACAGCAATATCACCAGATAGTTTAAGTGTTCTAAAATCAATCAAAGCCTGATTCTGTGTACAGTATGTGTACCAAGTCATATCAGTCTTGGCGGGAATGAACACGCCGATAAATGCGCGAAAAGTGGTATTCACGTGGTATTAATAGAAAAGTGATAGAAAAAAAGAAATAGATTATGAAACGTACACTGTGAAATGAATAATATACAGTAAGCTTCACTTATAGCGAACACGGTTATATAGCGAACGTCCGGTTATAAGGAACAATTTCTTATGGCCCGAATTTTGCCCTTCTTTGTTTTATATAGAAATATACTGTTATAACGAACACGGTTATAAGGAATTATCGCTATAAGGAACTGATTTTTTAGTCCCAATTTTGTTAACAGTACAGAAAATTACACTTTTATAACGAACTCCAATTTATCTCCAGCTATCCGTAAATAGATCCTGCATTTTCAACTTTCGTTTTTATTGGCACGGATTAAAACTCGGCGCTATGTACCGTTTATTGTTGTTTGTACTTCAATCCAGCTGTGAAAATGAACTTGTATAGAAGAACGTAATAGTTTTCTATTTAGGATATTTTTTGCATGAGTTCTTGTCACCAAGATAAAAAGGTTATTCCTTTATTCCATTATTTCTTTTCTTTAATAGTTTTGCTTGATTAAAATAATTATGATCATTTATAATCGGTTTTCAAAATAATCACGCATGCTATTCATTGCAAACCCATTACAAACTACATAGTACGTATGATTTAAATGAAAAATGAAAAAAAAACTATGTCTTTCACAAGTGAAAGTCACCCTTAAAATATAATGGAAGATATTCAAAATAACGGGAAGGAAAAATCGAAAGTCTTGTTTATTCTTAAACATGGAAAGAAAACGAAAACCACTGATTTTAGAAACAAAATATGATATTTTATGTGAAATTGAGAAAGGGAGTAAAACTAAAATTAAAATAGCAAAGGGTTTTCAAATTCCAAAAAGTGCGCTCTCGGGTATTGTGTCTAAAAAAAATGAATGGCTTATTTTGCATAAACAAAAGCCTTTCAAAATGGTGGACGATGGTAAACAATCAGTTCGTTATGTGTAAATCTGTTTGCTATAAAAACTCCTGATGCAAGGAACTAATTCGCTATAATTATGCTTACAAGAAACTCCGGATATAAGGAACAAATAGTGATTGTCCAAATGAGTTCGTTATAAGCGGAGTTTATTGTATAAATAAACAAGATACCTCCAAAAAATCTAGTATCATATCACTATGATAAAAAATTAGATGAAATATATTCGCGCTGAAAACTTAACCATTCAAAACTTAAAGGTCACTCATTTTCAGCCAAATCAAATTGTCCCGCATGTAATGAACCAGAAACGTTTGAACACGTGTATTTCAATTGCGCGTGTCATTCCGTGCAACGCAAAGAATTGGAATCATACATACTTAAACTTGGAATAGTATCAATTAATAAACATTCCTCTTGTATCTTCCGGTTAAAAGAGCTGGTCAGGGTCGCAATACGATATTTAAATTCATTAAAGAGATATAATTTACAAATAAGATTTAATTTACTATGGGTATAAGTACATAAAGTATCACATTAAAGATCGCCACTTTATAAATTTGGGTCTGAAATGCCGTGGGTTTGTCTGTGAGCATGGAACTAAGCAAGGCCAGTTCAGCAACTGCCCCATAAAGACATATATTTGGACCGGAACGCTAAGTTGATACAACAGTGATTTAGCAATTGCTGCTCAGAACATATTAATTTGTTTTCTGGGGGTAGGAGCTGAATTGCTCCATGCTCCATGCTGGTATGTCACACAATGTTTATTTGTAAAGACAGACAGTGGTCCGATATGTAGATATGATGTTAATTATGTATACAATTACAAATTTAATCTTATAATTATGTAAAACATCAGAATTTACAAAAATGCAATTGCTTAATGCACGACAAGAATCTTCTTGTCGGGAGGTCAAATGGAATTTGGGCTGGTAATATTTAACAACAGTCAAGATAAAAATAATGTACTGATTATAAACCTTTTTAATCACTTAATATGTAATTTACATAATGTAGAGAATGTAGTCACCCCACTGGTGATATAATGTTTAATTAACCGATTGAGAACTAAATTAATACTAACAATACAATGAAAATAAACCATATTAAATACTTGGTCGGTAGACACCCTACAAGGGATGCGTCGCTTGGCGCACCGACTTTTTACATCCACTCATACAAAACATCAAAATTTACAAAAATGTGATTGGTTAAATACACGCCTAGAAACGTTTTGTCAATACGTCCAAGAGAATTTATGCTGGTAGTATTTAACAACAGTCATAATAAAAATAATGTACTGATTATAAACTATTTTTAATCCCTAATGTAAAGAAAGTAGTCACCTCACTAGTGATATAATGCTTAAATTAATTCTCCAACTGAGAACTAAAATAATACTAACAATATAATGAAAATAAACTATATTAAGTACTTGGTCGGTACACACCCTACAAGGGATGCGGTGCTTGGCGCACCGACTATTTACATCCAATCGAACACGAATATTTAACATATAAGAACGAGTATGAATTAAAATTACATATTGTGTCCATCAGACTGCAGTACATCCCATACTCGTAATCAAACAAGAACACGCGTGCACATCTCAATTAACCGATCAAACTAAAATACTTTACAGGTAAGAGCGGGTATGAATTACGATGACATATTACGTCCATCAGGCTGCAATACAGCCTATACTCGTAAACAGAAAACATGCGCGCCCATCTCAATTATAGTTAAATGAGACTGATTTGTACATACTGATAAAACTGTTGTTACTTTTATGATAAAGTTTTCATGATACAAATGCATGGCTGTATATATTCAGTTAAAGTAGCTAGATTTGTTGTTATGGTTATCAAAGTAATTCATAGTGTATAATTCATAATAAACCATTTCAGGTTACAAATCCATAAACCTATCCCGTGAACACCAAAAGTTCATATTTCACTCGTGGCTGCGCCACTCGTGAAATATACCTTTTGGTGATCACTCGGTAAAATATAGTCCGATCTTACACTGAACTAAACAAATATCCTCTATGTAATTTACTCCTTAGATGAAAACATTTACAAACCAAAATAACACGCTTTTTGTAATTAAAGTTTACTTTAAGGCCCTTACGTATGCCTACAGAACAATTCATGTAAAGCCCTAGAGATCCCATAACCAACTTAACAAGGAGTTGGACAGGCCAAGGCCATTAAAACAAAATAAAACAAAACAATCCTTTCACGTCGCAACCGCATATGAGACATATTCCTAAGAATATGAACGATACCTGGCCACCAACTCAACAAATATAGTCATATGAGCCAACTTCATTTTGTCTGCGAAATAGAATGGAGACAAGACCCCCTTGAAAGAATGCTCGTGCATGTCGGTCGTGCATGTGGACAATATGTGTCAGGTATCAGTCCGAGTTGCATAATCTGATCGGTCAGTCAAGCTTATCATTTATTCTCGATGTTGCGTATAAGGGTCTCTTTGGCCTACCATTCAGTGAATTACTAAATTAAAAATCTATAGGTCACCTTCTGGTTTAACATTTAAGGTCATGAATAGTGACATGTCCGGGATCCGTACTATAAGTCCCTGAAAGGGCGGATGGACCCTCCTTAAGCATAGAATACATACATACATACATACATACATACATACATACATACGTACATACGTACATACGTACATACGTACGTACGTACGTACGTACGTATGTATAGGAAATTACCACAAAGGCCGATCAACACCGCTTAGAATTTTATGGTCATTTGTTTGATTATGTTATTACAGAATTGATGATTGGATAAGAAACGGAAAATGGCAACCGCCAGTCCAGGTCAAGCAACGTCTTCAATGACGCAGCAGAATCGCTGCCGTCTGTTGCGTCTTCAAATGCTCATTATAGACGGTGGACTACAAATACTAAGAAATATTTTAGATACGAAACTTAAAAATGTATCTCTTAGCGCATTTTTACAACAAGAAAGGTCAACAATAACCAAACTAAGAACGCGCGGAATAATTACACAGGTACAATATGATCTACTGTTTCCATCAGTTGGCATCGGTCCAACTACAACAGACCTAGACATCACGTTAATCATATGTCTCCTTAGAAACATCAAAACATTCGGGTTGAACAAGAACTTTCAATGGAACACAATTCCTACCCAAGGTGATACGACAGTTGAGGCTGATATATCTCGTCTGAAAATATATAGAAACGAGGTAAAGATATATTTTTTTTGCCTACTATAGTATGATACAAAAGAAAGAGAAAGAACATAAAAACACTCGGCAATTCTATTTAAACTCGGAAACTACGACCCCTCGTACAATTCAGATTACCTCGTATTTCGGTGCTCTTTCTATAATGTTAAGTAAATGTGTTTGTGATACACAGATTTAATGTATTTTAAGGGTTTTGTTGAGCTAGCTTTTAAATTCTTGAAGTTTATCTAATTTTTAAAATATATACATAATTCATAAATTGTATATAACATTAGGAAAAAAAATATACCTATTATATGTTATATTGCGACGAATGGGTTTCAACATTTATACTAAATGAGTAAGCCTATGATGCAGTAGCCTTAAATATAAATTTCACAATGTTACAGCTAAATATTTGTTACTAATGTACATGTATATATTCACTCGTTTTTAGGTCAGTCACATATCTTCAACAAGTGGAATAACGCTGAATGTTTTCACAACAAAGTGGGCGGAGATTGAACAGGTTAGATTGACCTTTTTTGTTACAAATAACTTACTGTAAACCATGTTTACTAATATAGCACTCCATGCATATATTATTTTTATTTTCTAATATTTTATCTATCTATATTCGTGAAACTTCTATTTTTACATTTTACAACGATTGCATTTTACCATAGTATTCCAATTGAAAATTCATTAAGGGAGAGTAACAAAATGGACAACCCCTCAAATATTTTAGTCATCGGTGGGAAATAGCCATTGAATGACGTGTTTGTGTTTGTGTGGGTGGGGGGCTGTTTGACTAGCGGTCACATAAAGACGTAGCTCCGGCGATGGCTGATTCATTTGATCGGCGATTAAGCAGCACTTGAGTCACCGAACAGTCGTTGATAAAACATTGATATGACAGCATGTTGTTGCCAAAACAAAAACAAACAAAAACAAAAAACATTGGTGTAGAAAAGGTCGGAAAAAGTCACAAACTAGGCGATGCATACAAAGTTGGTCGTAGATGGGCGGACGCGGGCGATAAGTCACCGAAGTTGACAATTCACCAAAACACAAAAGAATCCACCGATCGATCGAAAGAAGTTAGCAGAAAAGGATACTGGCCGACACCTCACTGATAATAAAATGCTATTTAGAAGTATCTACAGATTAATTTAATTTCCGAAATTAATCCTGATACACCGAAAGACCCATCATTTTCCCACCATCGGCGCGTCGGAGCATTTATGTGACATCAGCTTTAACATTCATCTGGAAACATTAAATATAGTTTCCTGGTATTCTTCCTGATAAGAAAGACCTGTATTGCTTCCGTTTACGTCATTCCCTCTCGTATATCATAAAAAGTGGAAACTTACTTTAGGTATCTGGTCAATGGTTAATGTCTTTGTCGTTTTCATTGCTTAATCTCATTGCACACACACAAATATTTTACTGTATCTTTTATAAAAATAGGCTGCACAGTTGTTTCTAAGTATCAACAGAATTCTAATATTGAACTTCTTTTACTGTATTTCTGTCTGGAAGTATTGAAAGATGTGAAATAATAGCAAAGTACATACATTTACTATTTATTTTACAATGTATATGTTTATGTTTTGGTATCTGATATTACATGACAATTCGACGATATTGATGGTATTTAGCATGTCTTTTTCCAGGTTCTTTTGAGGTTGAACTCGGCAGTGACTCCCATACCAGACCTTCAAATTATGATTGATGACTTCAAAGTGAATCCACTTGACCCACAGGCGGAGAGAAGGGTTCAGAAAGCCATAGACAATTGGCATAAGTTAGAAACGGGTGTAGAAGCTGAATTAAAACTGTTGAAAATGGAGGACGAGAAGATAAAAAGTACTCTTAATTTGCAATATCAAATCACGAGAAAGCATACACAGAGAATGGATGAATTAAACAAGAAAACGTGTGAACATGATAAACAAATACATGACCATGCTAAGCAAATACAAGAATTAAAGGTTAAGGAAGAAACTAGAAAAGGTAAATCTCTAATTTTAGTTTATTTAAGATGTTTGATATTTTGTATGTGCAATTTAAAACCTGAAAAAATCATATCATGAAAAGCTTAAAATACAGCGATAAATAATGGATATTTTTTAAAAGTATTATAAAACAAATGATTGTTTTATCTCAATCTTCTCAAAAAGTTATGGAGCTTTTTACTAAATTCTTTAAATGCGTGTTGGATTCGTGATATTTATTATAAATTTAATAGAACAATATTTACTTCTTTTTATGATTATAATTTAGTGCTCATATAATCTGTCACTTTATTTATCATTATATAATTCAATCTGACGAAATCAGATTTACTTAAATGCAGACAACAGTACTTACATTTATTTGTGATACATGTTTGCAAAAGATTAGTTCAATGTATTTGAATGTTTTAATGTAGATGACAAAACAGAGACAGGATCAAAATATGAAGAAAGTAAACAAAGTAAGTTTAATTTTGTCAATTTACTTTTAGTCCTTTTTCGCAATTAGTATATAATTGTAAGAAACAAACATACCAGAGAATATCGTATTCATCTAACGACGTATATAGCTTACGTTGAGTTGTACGTACTCATAAGTTTAAAACGTACACAGCTAATGTCTTTCAGAACAGTAGGTCAAAAGTCAAGTTCACTTAGGCCATTAAGGCGTCGTTATGCCGGAGTTGTTGTTCAAGTCGTAGTTATATAAGTCATCGTCAGTCGAAGTCGTCATCGTTATTATTTTTGCCGTAGTAGTTGACGTGTTATTTGTAGTCACCACAGTCGTAGCCGACGTCGTAGTAGGTGTTCCTTTAAAACTCTAGTTATTACTCAAAATGCCAAAAGATCATAAATAAAATCCTGTGCTCTTGTTCTGATAGAACAAATATGAGGGGATCATGTAAGCTGACAATCGGATCATCTTTATTATCTAAATGCACATGTACTGTAGTTCTTATATAAAATATGTGTGCGATCTTAAATAATGACCAAGGTTTTATCTAACTTTACACACTCTTGTTCTTATGAAATATGCATGAGTGAAATATACATGAATGTATCACATATATGTACATATACTCTATTCATTATGGACCATGTATGCGGGTATCATGTGAGATGACCAGGAGATTATCTAGATATTCATATACTCGTAAAGCGACCAGAGGATCATGTATATGAACAAATACACTACGTATTTGTAATGAAACATTTATGAGGGGTTCACGTAAGGCGACCAAGGTATCATGTAGATCTACATATACTTTATTCATTATAGAAAAGGTATGAGCGTATCATGGGAGATAACCATCTAGATGTACATATACCCGTTAGGCGACCAGGGGAGCATGTTGATGAACATGATTACACTCTATTTGTTATGGGACATGTATGACGGAATCGCGTAAGATGACCAGGGGGTCATTTAGATGTACATATACATATAGTATTCATCTTTAAAAACATACTCTAGTTCTTATTGGGCATGTATAAGATGAATATATACTTTATTTCATTATGGTACATATATGTGGGAATTACAAAAGACGGTCAGGTGATCAAGTAGATCTACATAAACTCTATTTATTGTTAAAATTGTATAAGAGAATCACGTAAGCGGACAAGAGGTCCTCTAGATGTAAGTACATTCTTATTTTTGAAAATGTATGAGGACATCATGTAAGATGACCAGGGAATCATCTAGATATACATTTACTCTTTTTATTTGTGTACAGATGTGAAGAGATAAAGTAAGATAACCAGGGAATCTTCTAGCTGTTCATAAACACTATTTTCTATGGGACACATATGAGGGAATCACTTTATATGACAAAATAATCACAAAATTGTTTCTGTACTCCAGTATTATAGAACATTTATGAGGGAATCACATAATTGACTAGGGATCATTTCAATGTACATACTCTTTAGATCTGTTCAAGCATGGATAAATAAATCACGTAAGCTTCTAGCGGGTCATCTAAATGTACACATACACAAAGCTTAAATAACATGTATAAGAGAATCAGGTAACTAAGATGACCCGGGGGGTTTCTAGATGCACTTGCTCTATTAATTTAAGAATTATGTATGAGGAGTTCATGGAAGATCCTGGGGGGATCGCAAGGTTGTTGTCGATTACTTTTGTCGGCGGCGTCGTTGTCAGCGTCGGCGTCCTCTAAGCCTTGTCGGAGCATTACTCCAAACTTGGTATGCATGTTTCTTTCAATTACCTAAGTGCAGTACTCTGCACTTCCTTAATTTTTGAGTTATTGCCTTTTTGTTAATTTTCATACTTTAATTTTGTCCGGGTCATTTCTCCTTAACCCTAAAAGCTATGGACTTGAAACTTCAAAAGATGATAGATCTTATTAAAAAAAAGAGCAGTGCACAAGAACCGGTACATTGCACTTTTTACTTTTTAATATTTTGCCCTGTGTTACTTTCATACTTTATTTTTGTCCGAGTAATTTCTCATGAAATTTAAAAGCTATGGACTTGAAACTTCATAGGATGATAGGTCTCATTAAGGAAATGTAGAACCGATACTCTGCACTTTTTATTGCGTAAGTTATTGCCCTGTAGCGGTGTTATAAAAACCTATATTTAAGAAGAAAATGCCGAACTGACAACAATACTGTTCACAAGACGACACATCCGACTTGCGGAGTTCTAGTTTATATACTTTAGTTCACATTGAACTCATTTAGGGGATCACGTTAGATGACCAGAGGATTATGCTCATGTTTGTTCTAGAATATGTATGAATGGTTTGTGCAAGATCATATATGAGCTGTTCATAACTTTAGTTTTTATGTAACATAATTAATCCAGGAGAATCTTTTTTCGGAGTGATCATACCTCATCCCCTCATACATGTTCTATAAGAACTATAAGAGTGTTTATACATCTAACAGACATCCTTGTCATCTTAAGTTATCCCTCATATATGTTCCATAACAACTAGTGTATATGTACATCTAGATGATCCCCTCATACATCTTCTGTAAAAAGAACTAGAGTATATGTTCATGAAGATGACCTCTTGGTCCTCTTATGTGATTTTTCGTATATCTTTCATATGCTTTGCATTTTGAAATCGTAGTTCATGATATTGAAAAAAGTAATTGTTATTACATTGGGTGCTGATAAATTTTTATTTCAGACCATAATCGAGTTTGAAATATCCTTCCCTTTTCTTAATTACTAGGCTGTCAACTTTACAAATTTCGAAGCGTCAGATAAAAAACCTTAACGTTTAACATGCTAAGAAAAAAAAGATTACGATATTCATAAAATGGCGTGGAATGATCTAAAGAAGAGCTACTGATGCATTACCGATCATTCTCATGTTTTAATATTGCTAGTATACGAAAGACTGCTATGCTGCCAGGCTGCCAACTTCAAAAATTTCGAAGCGTCAAAAAAAAGTAAAACGTTTAAAACAAAGATCGCGATATTGAAAAAAGGAATAGAATGATCTAAAGAAGTGCAACTGATGCATTTCCGACCGCTGTCATGTTTGTAATATTTTAATTTACTTAAGGCTGTTTGGCTGCAAGGCCGCCAACTTCACAAATTTCGAATCGTCAGGTTAAAAACTTTAAAGACAACATGTTTTAAATAAAGATCACAATATAAGTTCTAAAGAAGTGTAAAGAAAGTGCTACGGATGAATTTCTGACCGTTTTCATTTTTGTAATATTCTTAGTTTACTTGAGGTTTCTAGGCTCCTAAGCAGCCAACCTCACAAATTTCGAAGCGTGGAATGATCTTAGGAAGTCCGGCTGATGCGTAATTGACTGTTTTGTTTTCATGTTTGTAATATTCTTAGTTTTTTTCTCTCATGTCAGCTAGGCTGCCAACTTCAGGCTGCTATGCTGCCAACTTCACAAACATCATTCTGAGGCCAGTTATCACTTTCTGGCCGGTCAATGACGTGTATAAATGTCTTTAATACACTTAAGAAATGATAACGTAGCATTTTATCTTAATAATTTGAGGCCATTATATTATTATATTATTCATTTTGCGCGCCGATTATCACCTCCAGGCCCAACTCTGCACACTTATAAATGCATTTGACAGTGCTATCTGTTTCAATAGGAAACAACTTTCTGCAGAATTTCTTCAGGATTGTATATGTTATTAGATTATAGCTGTAATTTGGCTCTTACTCGGCAGTAATTAGAGCAGTCGCCTTTTTCAGGAAGAGGACAGTGCTGATAGTGATAATTGTGATTGGCATATTTTAACTAGCCAGTTTTTCGTGTTTTTCTTAAAGGACTGATAAAACTGTAGCAATGTGATGATACATTCAAATTATTACATAGGTAATACACGTGGAGTTCGCAGAGACAATTGATAACACAGTAATGTTTATGCCTCCGCTATATAATGGCAGGGGCATATAGTGTTACCCTGTTCCGTCATTCCGTCCTTCCGTCATTCTGTCATTCCGTCATCATCAGTTTCCGTTCATTATCTTAGTAACGGTTGCTCACAAATTTGACATATGGATATGTCATGAAAAAATACAGGTCAAGTTCGAATTTGGTCATGATTTAATGACTTTTGACAGAGTTATGCCCCTTTTACTTTGAAAATGATATGAAATTTTCAGTTTCCGTTCATTATCTCCCCAACGGTATTACACATTTAACTCAAATTTGACATATGGATATGTCAAAGAAATGTGCAGGCCAAGTTCAAATTTGGTCATGGTTCAATGATTTTAACAGAGTAATGCCCCTTACACTTTGAAAATAATATGAATTTTTTAGTTTCCGTTCATTATCTCCTCTAGGGTATTACATATTTTACTCAAATTTGACATATGGATACGTCAAAGAGATGCGCAGGTCAAGTGCAAATTTGTCATGGTTTGATATTTTTGTCAGAGTTATGCCCCTTTAACTTTGAAAAAAAAAGGAAATTTTCAGTTCCCATTCATTATCTCCCCAACAGCTGTACATATCAACTCAAATTAAAGATATGGATATGTCATAAGACTGCATTGGTCAATTTCGAATTTGGTCATTGTTTGATGATAGCTGACAGAATTATCCCTCTTTGAACTTTAAAAAATCAAGAATTTTAAGTTTTCGTTCATTATCTCCTCAATGGTTGCACACATTCAACTCAAATTTGACATATAGATACACCTGAGTAAAAAGCAGTTCAAGTTTGAATTTGGTTTTGGTTCAATGATTTTGGACAAAGTTATCTTTCCTGAATGTTGGAAAAATTTTGAATATTCAGTTTCAGCACTCATACTTTTGTGGAAATGTATGTAGCCATTATTTTGGCTACAAAAATGCAATATGCAATTTACAAATTTCACGGAATTGTTTCAGTGCCTTGAACTTTGTATAAAAATGGTTTGTGTTAACATTGAATCGTTTTAAGGGCTTTGAACTTAAAATAAAAAAAGTAATTTGTGCAAACAAATTTGGAACTA